ATTTTATTTTTTTAGACTAGTATGATTGGGTGATGGGAAAACAAGATTGTCAAGACTCAACTCTTGGACTTTTAGATACCATCACATTCCTCAAAGAGTTGCTAATGGCCACAATGGTGGTTGGCTCTTCGTCCAAGTTTATTAGACTAAACGAGTGTTTAGTCATCTAATTAAACCCTACATTTTGCTTTCTGTCTGAAAAACTCCCAGACACTGGCCGCCTGTTTGGCTGGCTACTTTTTCAAAAAAAAAGAAAAAGAAAAAAAGGAGAAGTCAACCGAAATTCTACATGACTTGATTTAGGAAATTTATTGTATTGGCATGTAAACTAAGGCATGTAAATTAAGGCATGATATAATCGATCGGTATGAAAAGAAAAGTAATGCATTATATTTACAATATGAGAAATAATACATATATTTTATAAAATTACACATTTTATTTTATACCCATAGAAATCATCAATATTTAATGAAAATTATTAATTTTAATGACATAAATAATAAAAACAATCTAATCAATTACTTTAGAGAAATAAGTTATTATACTAATATAATCAATTATTTCTTCTTTATAATCAATTACATCCCTTTTCTTTGAAAAAAATCCCAAAAGAAAACTTGACTGAGAAAGTGGAACATACTACATTACCGATCCTTCCACATATTGTGTGTTGATTTATGTGCCAGAAAATTAAATTTCCTAACTCCTAAGTCAAGTTGTGTGCAATTTAGTCAACTTCTCCAGATTCTTTTTGTAGGGCAGTGGCCAACTAAACAAGTCCTAGAAGAAAAGTTTCCTAGCAAATTAAGGCTATGTTTGAGTTGATTGTTAGTAACAACGAATAGGTAATAGCTTATAGCATAGTTAAAGTTAAATTTTATAGGATTTTTGTATTGATGTTTTATGAAATAATTATTAATTATTGGCTCTAACTTAATAAATTAAATATTTTAAATTATAAACAATAATAATTATTAATTATTAGATACCAATAATTGATTATCAATTATATTTAAATAGTTAATCCAAACACAGTTTACAACTATTTAAAATTAGTATATAAACTAATATTTTTAAATACACTAACAAATTGTTTAAGAAAAGAAATTAAAACCCAATAAAATCAATCAAACTAAATATAAGCCTAAAATCTTCTCCAATTTTTTTTTAACAAATTCGCATAAGACTAAATTCAAATTATTGCCCTGGGGTAGGGGAATATACTTATACATGACTTGACAGCACTGAACCCAAAAACCCACGTGCAAAATCTTCTCCAATTGACTAAATTACTATTCTAAAAGAATATAGCTATCACATCTAAGGATAGCAATTTTCTCCATTTCCCGCAAGGCTCCGCAAGATTATTGTTGTGGGGACAGGGTGGGTATGGGGCATTTTTCACTATAAAATTTTGTAAGAAATTTTTCCTACCTTATGTAACTAGCATAAATTTTTAAAAAATAAAAAATAATTGATATATACTTAATTTAATATATTTTTTTAATATTTATTTTAATTCAGTTATTAAAATATATTACAAATATAATTAATTTAATTAATTATTATATTTTATACATATAATTACATCTTTAACTTTATGTTTTTGATAAATAACTAAATTAAAAGAAAAAATAAAGTAAAAGAAAAATTTTCCATCCCTTTATCCTCTAATTTTTTTAATAATCAAATAAAAAAAATTTTTCCTTCTTCATTTTTTTCAATCCAAACATACCATAAGTTTGTTTGCATTTAATTTTAAACTAAAAAATAATAATTTTTAATGAATGCATTATGTAATATATTAAACTATAATATATACCTATCAATGTCTATAAAAAAAATACTATTAAAGCTAAAAACCAACTCATAACCATAACTTTTTTTAATCAAAACTCATTAAAAAAAATTAAACCAAACCTATTCAACATTTTAACTTTAAATTAATAAAATAATTAACTCAAATAAAAATTAAAAAACTAAATAGTTAATTGTATTTTTTTCTTTATGTTAGTAAACATTTTTTAATTCTTAATATTGCTTAGTGGAGAATGAAGATTCCCATGGGAATCCGATTCATGAAATAACAGGACGGGAAGCAAAACTTGTCTCCCGTAAAAAAATTCCAGTGACAATTCTCACCCCATCACACCCCATTACGGATAAGGATGACGACGGGAGACTTCTCACTTACCCTTGCAGACCTGTTGTCATCTATATTCTATAGTCACATTTTGATCGATTTTGTAAAGAATTACGTTGTTAAATTAAAACTTAAGAAACAAAGTTATAATTTTTCAATCTTAACTAAACCCCTCCCCAGCAAAAAAGAAAAAAAAAAAAAAGAAGACGAAAA